ACTAGAACTGCTGTTTGAAAAAGCTGAAAGTAGAAGTCTGTCTCTTGAGAAGTCATGCAGACTTTTGGATCAGTGGAAAAAGAGGGGCGACCAACTGTTGTATTCTATGATACCGAAAGGAATTGCTGACCATTTGAGGTCTGGTAAAGATCCAATGGGAGCTTGTCAGGTGAGATTATGACCGTAAAGCAATCTTAATTGTCTTCGTAACTTTTGTAATTTCCTTAAACAAAAAGACAGTTCAACGATTGTATTTGTCGATTGTTTTTTCAGGCGTTTGAGTCAGTGACGATAATGTTCTGCGGCGTGCAGCTGGCGGAGGCGGGCAGTCGAGCCGACGTCATGCAGACCGTGGCCTACATGAATGATGTATACTCCAGGATCGATAGACTGCTCGACGCACATAGAGTCTACAAGGTACAATGGAAAATTTGCTTATTTAGAAGGTCCAAAACCAGCAGATGCTTGCTATTCTCCACTTCTCTTCTTTATCGGGCATAGGTAACAGGTCTATTAGCAATGACCAATCTAATATGTTAACGCCTGCCCATTTATAATAGTCAATTACATTCCAGGTGGAGACAGTAGGCACGGTGTACATGCTGGTCTCAGGCGCGCCGGAACGGCGTCGCGCGCACGCCGCGGCAGCTGCCAGCGCCGCGCTAGCTGTGTCCCGCGCTTTGCCCATGCTTACCATCGGTATAAATTATCTACTATTAAAATTCAATATTTGTTAACTATAAAAACTATTGAAATAATATTTGATTGGTTTACCCACTTAAAATGCATGCTGTCTGGTTTTATGCTTATTAAAATGTTATTGTACAGGAGTACACTCTGGTCCGTGCGTGGCGGGAGTGTTGGGCCGTAGGTTACCGCGCTACTGCCTTGTTGGTGACACCGTCAATACTGCTAGTAGAATGCAGACGTCATCAGAGGTATGAAATAATTATTCTTCTTACCAAAATCCAGATCAAAGTTAGTTACAAAATAAATATAAATTTTCTAAGATATTTTTACACGTTAATAACTTACACTCACAATAATGTTTTTAGCCGGGCCGCATTCAAATATCAGCGAAAACTGCGGCGGAACTTCCTGCTGGCAGATTCCGTCTGAGACGAAGAGGGCTCATCAAAGTGAAGGTAAAATAAGTTGAAACCTTTTTTCTTTCTATTCTTAATTTTTAAAAAAAGGCGGGGAAAAGGCAATGCTTGATAAGTGATCAAGTGAATATTGCTTATCTGCAAAAGGATGGAGTCAGCCTCCCCTCACTCGAGAGAATCTACAAATGTTAAAGAGATAAATTACTTTCAAACAGTAGGTAAACCATTGGAATTAAAAAAAAATTACTACTAGTCCCTTTTATCTTCGGCTGACGACACCCTTAATTGCCCAGTATTAACTCAAAGGACGTCTGTCTATTCCAGGGTAAGGGCCTGATGGAAACCTTCTGGCTGGAAGGGGAAGTGGAAGAAGAGGTGCAGGACGAAGCTCTGCAGCTGTTCTCAGCACTTTGTGGAGATAATTGATTTTGAAAATGTATTAAACGTTAGTGCTTAACGTTGCTTGTGACATTTTCTAGTCTATTCTTAACATAGTCTATGGTAATTTTGTGCACTCATAAATTGTCTTTGGAACCATACTGAAAAATCGCAAATATGTATATGAAATCGTTATATCATCGCATTTAAAAAGATTCAGTCCATTGTTTTTAAGGGTAGATAAAAAATAATATAAAATCATCAATATTGAATATATTTTAATTATTTAACATGTGAATTAAATTCGATTTTTTTTATTATTTTTATGAAATATGCTTGTTATATTTACAAACAATAAACATTAAAGTTACATAGTTCTATAAAATAAGTAAATATCATGTTATTCTAAAATAGGCAGTAGAAATACGTGTGTAGAAAATTATATATGAATAAATATGCAGATATTCGAGCAACTCTACAATATATTTGATTTACAATTCATAAAGCTGTTTAATTTATAAATTATATAAAAACTTAACTGTAAAGTTAACTCGTTGAAATTAAACAAATACTCCGTTGAATGATTTTTCTAATTTATACGACAAATGAGCGAACAATTGCAATACTTTTGTTTGCTGTCCTTTATATTACAGTTGAAAATAGAATCAAAATAAAACTCCAAAAAATATACTTCAAATTATGAAAAAAAAACTAAATCGATTTCTTATAAATAAGACATTATTACAGTACTAAGGAATGGGATATAAATAGTCCACAGTTTTAAAAACGATTGTGCCTCAGTTTTTGTATGAATTAAACCATTGTATTGAAGAATGTAATTATTGAAAAAAACACTAAACGACATCACTAAGTGCTAAGTGTAGTTAACTTAGATTTTCTTTAAACATTTCTAGTGGAGAGTGTAATTGGAGTGCTTTAAAAAAAACCTTATAATCTAAGCAAATAAAGTTGGCACTAAAGTACACTAGGACGGTAGGAATCTACATAATAATAGATTTATATGATTTGTTTATATGTTAAATAACAGAAATAACAAATATCTTAGAAAGGTTAAAAATAACAAAATAATTTAAGGCACTATAGAAATCTTGATAATATAAAACGTAATTAAAAATTATACTAATGAAAAATCTTAAAAAAACGAATTATAGAAAATGGTCCACAAACCATAAAATTATTGTTATTGCAAAGTTTTACTTAAAATGAATTCAGAAACTTAGTTACAAAGTCATGAAATACTAAATTTTATATCTAAAATACAAACTTTAATTTAGACATACATTTTGTCATTTCTACATCTCTTCAATAAGGAACAAACACTCCTCAAATATTAATATATTTTACGTTAAATTTACTGGAATAAGTACTTTAATAATATCCTGTAGATTAGAAATAAATAAAGTGTCAGTCTTCCTAATATTATGCGATTCGACGAGTTGGTACAAATTTAAAACGTTTGTTCATAATCCTTCGATTCTCGACATCTTAATAATTCTTGGGCAAGATTACAACATTCTTACCACGACTTTCAATTGTCGGAACACCAGTACAAATAACACTGCCATCCCTTTCACTGTCAATGAAAATAGAGAGAGAACAATATTCTCGTAAAGGCGCTTCGTGTAAATCCACGATCCAAATACAAACAACGAAGATGTCAACCGAATATTAGCAACCAATAATCACATAACCTTAAAAGATATCCGTCAAACTCAATAACGGCAACTATCACAAGTGGTAGCTATTGCAAATTACACTTAAAGGAATGTTGAACTTATACTATTTCTTAAAAACAGCAGTAACTTCTTCGATAGTTTTATTCTTCGTCTCCGGTAGTTTGAAGTAAACGAACACGTAGAAAAAGATCAAGAGTATCGTGAATGGCAAAAACACGAGATTGCCCAACAGATTGGTGAGTGGAATGAAAACGAGACCGACTATGAAGTTTGCAAACCAATTGACAGCAGCGCCAACACTGACAGCAGCGCTTCTGGCGCCTTGGCCAAATAACTCCGAGAGGATAATCCAAGGAATTGAGCTCGGACCAACACCGAAGAACGCGACGTAAAACAATGTGAAAATTACAGCCAAAATGCTCATAGTAAAATTGTCTTTGTACGTGTAGAATGCAATTGTCATGAGAACTGAAGCTAATGCCATTCCACCAAGACCCCACAGCTGCAACGTACGCCTCCCTAGACGATCCATCAACGGGATAGACACCAACGCCATTATAAACAGAATACTTCCAACACCGATAGTAGCTAATCTAGCATTTTCGACAGTTAAACCAGCATTCTCGAAGATTGTGGAAGAATAATATAACACTGCGTTAATACCACCTAATTGTTGAGACAAATGCATAACGATCCCAATTATTAGAGGCGTCCGTAGAGCCTTTATTCTGAACAAATCTCCAATACTGAATTTTTCTTCTTGTTTCGCAGCTCTGTCCTCTTCATGCATTTCATTGATTTCATCATCGATATTACCAGTTCCTCTGATCTTAGCTAGTAGCGCCCTCGCTTCTTCCTCATTCCTTTGCACCAGTAATACGTACCGAGGTGATTCCGGCGCGAACGGCAGCATTAAACATTGCAAAGCAGATAGAAACACTGCCAATCCAAGCAAAAGTGGCCACCCATCGTTACTTCCTAAGATAACATCGATTCCCAAAATCTGTGCTCCAACGAGACCAAATGCGACCGCTAATTGATTAACAGTACCAAACGCACCTCGAAGCTTTAAAGGCGATACTTCCGAAACGTAAGTAGGCGAGGCGGTAG